TGCTGCTGTTCCTGCTGCTTTTCCTGCTGCTGTTGCTGCTCCATTTGTTACTGCTGTTGCTACTGCGGTTACTGCTGCTGCTGCTGCTGCTGCTGCTTGGGATATCATACCAATGCAGTACCGAGGTCTAGGCCTTCGGTTTGGGATCTGGGGCTTAGGGTTTAGGGTTTAGGGTTTAGGGTTTAGGGTTTGTGCAGACTTGGTGGTCGGAGGATCAAACCGCCCATTAGACACCTCAATCTGCAGCGAAGCCATTCGCCACTTTACCCAGCAAGTCGAGGAGTCAGTCTAAACCCTAAACCCTAAACCCTAAACCCTAGCCCTAAACCCCAAACCCTAAACCCTAACCCTAAACCCTAAACCCTAACCCTAAACACTAAACCCTAGTCCTTAAACCCTCGATCTTTAGTCTCCCTGTTATCCTGGCCTTCCAGTAACCATAGGTGTCTGTTCTCCACGCAGGAGATTTCGGGTTCCGAAGGAAGGGTTTAGGGTTTAGGGTTTAGGGTTTAGGACTAAGGGTTTAGGGTTTAGGGTTTGTGCCTGCAGACTGAGAAATGCTGTTGAAGGACAGCTGCCTGAAGCAGAAGAAACGAATGGGAGCGTCCGTGAAGTAGGGTTTAGGGTTTAGGGTTTAGGGTTTAGGGTTTATGGTATAGGGTTTGGGGTTTAGGGTTTAGGGTTTAGGCGCTACATCTGTCAGTGCCGATTGCGCAGTGCGTATTTTTAAGTTGGGTGCTGCTGTTGATTTTGCTGCTGCTGTGTTTGCTGCTGCTGTGTTTGCTGCTGCTGTGTTTGCTGCTGCTGCTGCCTTTTCTGCTGCTTTCTTTGCTGCTGCTGCTGCTGCTGCTGCTGCTGTAGGGTTTGGGAGTTGAGGGCGCGGATGAACCTGAAGAAGGCGGCGATGATTTGCTGCTAGGGTTTGAAATGGAGGAAGCAGCAGCAAATGAAGCAGCAAACGCCTGGGAGCAGCAGCAGCAGCAGCAGCAGCAGCTAAACCCCATGGAGCAAGACCAGCAGCAGCAGCAGCAGCAGCAAGAAGATTTGTACAACTATGAAGACACTGCAGCAATGGATTATGCTGCTGATGAATACTCGAGGCCTGAGGACGATATCAGTGGGGCATCAACCGAGGGTTTAGGGTTTAGGGTTTAGAATTTAGGGTAGAGTTTAGGGTTTAGGGTTTAGGCCTTCAGAATTAGTTCGAGGTGCAACTAACTCACAAGCTGTCAGCCCTAGTCAGAGGGGGCCAAGGTTTAGGGTTTAGGGTTTAGGGTTTAGGGTTTGGGGTTTGGGATTCAGGGTTTAGGGTTTAGGGTTTAGGGTTTGCAGGCACGGCGAACTACTCTTTGCTGACAGCAACTGCAGCAGAAAAGGAGTGGGAGGCTTTGAAAGGGTTTAATCGTTTATTAACTTCCTCTGTTTTATCAGTCGAGGGTTTAGGGTTTAGGAAGGGTCCCGTTCGCCGCACTGCAGCAGCAGCAGCAGCAGCAGCAGCAGCAGCAGACCCAGCAGCAGCAGCAGCAGCAGCAGGCAAATCGCAGCAGCTT